TGGAGGTTGCTGTGAGCTGTGATGCCACAGCACTTTACCTAGGGCAACAGCTTGAGGCTCTGTCCTCCCACCAAAAATGAAATTTATGGGCGGCGCCTGTGGCTCAGTGGGTAGGGTGCCAGCTGCATATACCAAGGGTAGTGGGTTCAAACCCAGTCCTGGCTGAACTGCAACAAAAAAATACCTAGGCATTGTGGTGGGTGCCTGTAGTCCTAACTACTCTGGAGGCTAAGGCAAGAGAATCACCTAAGCCCAGGAGCTGGAGGTTGCTGTGAGCTGTGTGATGCCACAGCACTCTACCAGGGGCGATAAAGTGAGACTCTGTCTCTACAAAAAGAAAGAAAGATAGCAACTACAGGAAAGCAGAAATCCATGTGGTGTCATTAAACTTGGACTCAGGCTCCTGATACCAGCAGCCATTTTGGCCTTTAAAGACCATGTAAGATTCTCATTAAAGTCCAAGAGAGATCATACATACCCCTGTCTTTACCAACCTAAGGGATTCCCTTTAGGTCCCTAAAGATAGCTCCAGATCTAACATTGATCCCATTGCCATAATAACAGCCCACACAGCATAGCCCTCCCAGCCCCATTAGTGATTATGGGCTTTAGAAACTCAGCATCTGAGTCAGCTTTGCCATGTTACCATGTAAGGACGTGCATGACTACAGCTGTGTGACTGCAGGCCAGACAACACACCCCTGTGAACCCCAATTTCTTACCCTATAAAATGGGAATAATAATCTTTGTCTTGTCTGTGTTCTAGGGTTGTGGGTAATCAGGTGAGATAATGGATGTGAAAATGCTGTGCAGACTATAAATCCAGGGTTCAGGTGGAAGGTGGGTCTGTGTTTACAGGTGAGGTCAGAAGCCACAGACAGGCGAATCTGGCCACTTGCCCAAAATCATGCCATAATTTCAGGATTAGAACAGAAGGTCTTGAGCCCTTAATTCAGTGCCTGTTTTATTTTTTATCTATCAGCTAAGAAGAGAATACACTCCTCTTCTTGTCAAATTTAAAAATAAAGCTCAAACTCCAGCTTGCCTGCCCCTCTCAATCCCAGTCTTTTCCCAAGGCTGTTAGTTTGAAACATATTTCCAGGCCAGGCATGGTGGTTCATACCTGTAATCCTAACACTCTGGGAGGCCAAGGCAGGTGGATTCCTTGAGCTTAGGCATTCAAGACCAGCCTGAGCAAGAATGAAACCCGTCTCTACTAAAAATAGAAAAACTATCCGGAGGCCAGGTGCAATGGCTAATATCTGCAATCCTAGCACTCTGGGAGGCTGAGGCAGGTGGATTGCCTGAGCTCAAATGTTCAAGACTATCCCAAGCCAGAGCAAGACCTCGTCTCCAAAAATAGCCAGCATTGTGGTGGGTGCCTGTAGTCCCAGCTAGTTGGGAGGCTGAGACAAGAGAATCACTTAAGCCCAAGAGTTTGAAGTTGCTGTGAGCTATGATGCCATAGCACTCTACCAAGAGTGACAAAGTGAGACTCTGTCTCAAAAAAAAGGAAAAGAAAAACTATAGTCCCATCTACTCAGGAAGCCAAGGCAAGAAGATGGCTTTAGCCTAAGAGTATAAGATTGCTGTGAGCTGTGACACCATGGTACTCTACTCAGGGTGATGGAGTGAGACTCTGTATCAAAAAAGTAATTAATTGGTTAGGTGCCCATAGCACAGTGGTTACAGCACCAGCCACATACAGCAAGTCTGGCAGGTTCGAACCCAGCCCAGGCCAGCTAAACAATGACAACTGCAACAAAAAATAGATGGGCATTGTGGCAAATGCCTGTAGTCCCAGCTACCTGGGAGACTGAGGCAAGAGCATCACTTAAGCCAAAGAGTTTGAGGTTGCTGTGAGCTATGACGCCATAGCACTCTACTGAGGATGACATAGTGAGACTCTGTCTCAAAAAAAAAAGTAATTAGTTAAAAAAAAAGTGGCCTGGTGGTGGCTCACACTGTAATCCCAGCACTTGGGAGTCTGAGGCAGGCCGATTATGTGAGCTCATGAGTTCAAGACCAGCCTAAACAAGATTGAGACCCATCTCAAAAAAAATAATCTGGCATTGTGCTGGGTGCCTATAGTCCCAGCTACCTGGGAGGCTGAGGCAAGAGAATAGCTTAAGCCCAAGAGTTTGAGGTTGATGTGAGCTGTGATGCCACAGCACTCTACCAAAGGTGACAAAGTGAGGCTCTTTCTCAAAAAAAAAAATTAATTAATTAATTAATATAAAATAAAAATAAAAATGAAACATCCTCCAGACCTTGCTGTTGCATTTATAGTCAAGCATGGATTTGACAAATATTTACTGAGCACCTGTGGGAGTGAACAAGACAAGGTCCCTGCCCTCATGGAACAAACATTCTAGTGAGGAAGTAACAAGGAGGACTCCAGATGATGATAGGTGCCATGGTACAGAATGATAGGGACAGACAGGGTGGCCCAGGAAGGCCTCTTGGAGGTGGGGACATTTAAGCTGAATGACATCTAATTCCTAGGAAAGCAAGTTGAATGCAAGCCAATGGGAAATGTCTTTATAGGTGGAGTTCGAATCCCTCCAAACTTCTTCCAAGGTGGCCTGGTATGGTGGCTCACACCTGTAATCCTAGCACTTTGGAGACTGAGAGGTGGGTGGATTGCCTGAACTCACAGGTTCGAGACCAGCCTAAGAGAGAGAAATTGTCTCTAAAAATAGCCAGGTGTTGTGGTGGGCACCTATAGTTCCAGCTACTTGGGAGGCTGAGGCAAGAGAATCACTTGAGCCCAAGAGTTTAAGGTTGCTGTGAGCTGTGATGCCATGGCACTCTACCAAGGGCAACAAAGTGAGACTCTG